GGGAGGAGGGCCTGGGGGCCTGGACCCGTGGGTCTGAGGGAGGAGGGGCTGGGGGCCTGGACCCGTGGGTCTGAGGGAGGAGGGCCTGGGGATTGGACTCATGGGTGTGAGGGAGGAGGGGCTGGGGGCCTGGACTCCTTGGCCCTCATCCTGGGATCCCTTCCCTTCTGCAGGGCAGCTGTGAGTGTGGACCCCTTCTATGAGATGTTGGCAGCGAGAAAGAAGCGGATTTCGGTCAAGAAGAAGCAGGAGCAGCCCTGACTCCCCGCCCCCAACTCCATTATTTATTACGGAGCTGCCCCGCCTGGGTGGCCGGACCCCTGGGCCTTGGGGCTGTGAATCCTGGTTCCCTGTTTGGAAAATTCACCACCTTTAGCTCCTCTCTGTTCTTTGTAATTAACACACTGTTGGTAATCTTATTAATTATTTAACCACTCAGCCTGCTGATCCCCTCATTTCTTGGGGTTGACAGAGCTGAGGTGCTTGGTGGAGGCAGCCTGTTGCCCCTGGACAGCGGCCTGGACCCGCCTGTCTCTGTGGGTACTTGCTTGGTGCGGCCCCAGGGCCTGTCCTGGGTGGGTCTGTTCTGTTTCATCCCGAGCCCAGCAGGAGTGTAGTAAAGGGTGAAGGTTAATACGGTGGGAGTCTGGGGTTGGAATTGGCCAGGGATGGAATTCTTAGCAGGATGCATGCAGAGGTTCTGGGTCAAGGTCTAGCATTCATTCGAGAAGTTTCTTGACAGCCATCAGCCAGTTAGCTACAGCTGTCAGCTAGTTCCCGTCTTTGCTTTCATTGGGCTTGAGGTCTTTGAGGGGGCAGGAGATAAAGCTGATGAGGTTGTGAGCTGGGCCTGGGCTTTGAGGACAGCCTGGAGCAGGAAGAACTATAAATGCGACCACCTCAGAAGGGTGAGGGAAGGATGAGTTGGGAGGAGGTGGCCCATGTGCTGGGCACAGCTAGTTCAAGGGCCTTGCTGATGGGGTGTCCCGAAGTGGACCTGGGCAGCCTTAGATGGGGCGAAGAGGGCAAGGCTTCTCAGTCCCAGAAGGATCCATCAGTCGCCTCTGGAGGACATTTTGTGTCAAGGATAGGGCTGAGGACCTGTGTTCTGAACGTCTTTCCTGGGATTCCTGACAGCCAAAGAAATGTGAGGACTGCCTCTTTGAAGGTGAAGTCTTGACTTGTGGGGTACCCCTGAATCCTGGGCTAAGGCCAGTGCCCTTTTGCCCTCCAGTTGGGGAATACATGGTGTCCCCAAAGGACAAGGGCTCGTGGATCCCGAGAAGGGTGGGGTGGCGGATTGGGAGGCCCCATGTCACTCTCACGCCGGCCTTTAAAGACAAAGAGCTCCTTAAGTTAAAAACCAAAAACAACTCCCGGCAGGGTCGGGGACCAGCGCGCGGGTGGGAGAGGCGCCTGTAGCCCCGGGGCGTGCTGGGAGTTGTAGTCCCTCCCACCCGCTGTGTTCACTGTTAACCTGTCCGAAGGGGTGCGGCACTTGGGAATTTCGGGCCTTGATCCCGGTCCCGTCCTTGGCCACAGGCACCCGCCAGCCTGAAGGCCCTCGCAACGCAGGGACCCTGCGCCCCTCCGCGGGAGGGTGGTCTGCAGTTCCTGGTAGGCTGTGCGGCTCCCCCGTCACGGGAGAGCCAAACCCAAGGTTTCCCGGGCGTCGCAGTCTCCCGAGACTCCGTGGCGGCGTTTGCCTTTATCTTAGTCGGGTCCGGTACTTTCGTGGAGGGTGCAGAAGAGGCTTTGACCGCGGCGGCCCCGGGGGCTGGTGGGAAATGGAGTTCCCAGATGAGAAAACAGAATTCGCGACTTCTCTTTCCCACAGGTGCCAGGGAAATGGAGTCATCGACCCAAGAAGGTCGTGGGAGATGAGGCCCCGGGGTAAACAGCAGGTCCCGCCACTGTGTCACCCTTTCCTGTCGCCTCCCCGGATGGA